ACTAAACCCTATTCAAGGTTCAGAAAAGCCTTTTCATATGTGTGCAACTGTGTAAAGGCATAGCTAATGGCTTGAGAGCACAAATAACTTCAAGAGTGCAAGATTAACCATCCTCAGTTACTTACACAAAAGAGATGAGTGGCAATGCTAAGATCACAATGATGCACACAGAGTGACTCAGCTACAGAGAAATAATGCTCAACTACTGCCTGATTACAGCATATAACAAGAGTAGGGCCATCGGCCCTGGGTCGGATATCGCTCACGAGTGATCACCCATGATCGTGTGCTGATCAATTGTGGAAAGAGCAATACTTCCCTTGATCCTCGCTATCTAGACAAAACCCCCCTTCAGGACAGTCCTGAGAAGACGCCACTTGTAGGCCACATCGGAGCGAACTGAGTCTACCTTATCATTGCTGCATCCGATAGTGCATTTTCCGAGAGGTATGCATCGTACCGATCCAGTAGGGGGTTTCGGACAGCCGTAGCTACATTTCGTAGTACAGACCGCTGCAAAGACCGTTTTAGAGTTCTGAAAGAGATAAGATAGATTGAGAGTTAGTACAGCAATGCGACGGATATCTGAGTAAGAGGGGTCGTTCAAGATTACACCGAAGATCAGCCCCATGCTATTGTCGCATGAACAGCCAACCACACTCCCAGAATTATCGTACCTACATTTACCTTCGGGCTTCTCATACGTCTCACCCTCTGAAATGGACACAACAATTGACGATCGCTTTCATGCTTCGAACTGTGACCGAATCCATATGACCGACCCGTTAAGTTGGCATCGTCATTGCTATTCGCTGTCGGAAATTGTCTAAAGACTTCGGTTCTGAAAGGAGTCCTATTATCACACGATGTAAATCATACTCTCTACTCAGTGAGGAGTCCTCACGGACCCACCTCCCGACCGTGAAATCAGCCCAGGCTATGTTAAGACAGACAAACAGTGCGGCGTTCACGAGATTGTGCATTGATGGTCCAAGATGTGTAGGCGAGTCGTTGCTGCGCGTCGCAAAATAAGATGGCTATGGCTGTCGGCTTCCGCACACGTGAGGCTCACGCATTCACGCAATGCGAGGGTCCATGAATTATTCCTGGTCCGATCGTTGGAATCCAATAACTTTATCGCTCGTTACGAAGGCGACTATGGTGGACTATGGTCGTCGTCAGGTTCAAAGGGCATGACACAAGTAGAGTTGTGTTGGTTGAGAAAAAGGTAGTCCGTAAAAAGCCGAGCTTACGGCTATCACCCGTCACGTGACTTGTTGTACTGTCCCCAGACGCAAAACCTCTAGGTGACGTGACGTAGTATTCCTGGAGCGTGTTGTGGGTCCAGTTTGCCTCATCCTTATTATCTTATCAAACCTTCGCTTTCCTCTCTCTAGCGAGTGAGCCTAATATCGTTCCCTGTGCTGCTGTTAAATATCCCACTCCTGGGCGCGTGGATCTGGTGGGCTGGAAGGCAGGTGATGTCTACGGCTTCAAGCCCTCGAAGCATCGAGTCAGTGCGACGGGCGCCTTTATTGGCTCCGCGCGGGTCGCGCTAGAGCGGGCGCGTGCAGGCAATGCGACGCCGCGACGATCGACCGACCGATGCTTGTTCCCCCAGCTAGATCCCGGCCCAGGTGAACGCGGCACGAGCATCACAGGGAAACATACAGCTTTGACGATGCGGGTGTCATGCATTTAGTGCACACGACAGGCGATCGTAGCCACCAGTTACCATCGCACGGTGATGCGGAATGCTGTTCTGTGTATCGATCTTCCTATTTTTTCGTGACAGTACTTTTTTGATCACTCCTACACTTTTCCGTGAGTCCCGCCCCGTCACTCCCGATAGCGGAGTGACGCTTACGGCGCGTCACGTCACGACGTCACGACGGGCTGTTCTGTCGGACTGATACTAATTCCAAGTTGCTTCTCCTCTCCAATAGCCAATATGTTTTGTATGGGCGTACCAGGGGTGAGTCGAATGTCATATAGGCGATTGTAAGTGCCAAATTTTCCCCGATGATTCGGACCGAGTTCGACAATGGTACCGTCCGAACAGCTGATATAGATAGTATGCTTGCACTCAGTGCAAGCACTGCTGTACACGCTGAGCGGTTCGAGAGTCGCCAGCAGACAGACTGCCGTCCTGAAAAGAGATACAATCACTCGGGACCATATCGAAGTCGCGACGAGTGAGCCACTGTATTATGTCCGACAGCCTCGGTAACTCAATCGATAGAGCGCGTGCTTTTTAAGCCCGTGATCGACGGTTCGAGCTCCGCCCGAGGTGATTTTCTTGATCGGCTACTCCGCTAAAGTAGAGCATGTTCATTCCTTGAACAACCCACTCTTATTTCACCCAAGGGAAATCGCTGACTCCGGTCGACAAAGTGCACAACTCTCAGGCGCCATCGAACGATATCCACTTACCCGCGGTGCGAAGCCTGTAGCAGTGTCGACCTAAAACGCCAAATACCTTCCATAACATAATCTACTGCCGGGCCTTTCCTGACCTCGTTGGCACTTCTGTCCGCACCAACGCTACACCAACTGCTTTAACTCCTCTAGCTTTCGCTCGCCACTCTCTGGCACTCCGGCACGGCGCACTGTGTCCCTCAGGCACCCACAAAACTCCGAGTGATGGTCCGTCCGATTCAACTGGATCATGAACTCATCATGTGAAGTATGTCACTTATGACATATGTATCACCTAGTATCACTTATGGATGACCCATTCGTTGAGTATTTCCCGGGTAGTACAGCCGGGAACAAATGAGCCCAACGGGAACAGTGAGGGTAAAGCTGGCGAGGATCCCTTTGGTAAAGGAAAGACGAAGGGCGGATATGGGTACTTCGGACAGGCAAGTCAAGGTATATTATGGGAGGTTTTAGTAACACCGTGTTACTGCGATCGCAAGAGGGAGCCAAAGAGTCAGATCTAATCTGAGTCAGATTATCTGACTTTATCACCGCTGATCCAGTGAATTGCCTTAGCGAATACGGAGTTGTGGCCTCATCGTCAGTTTATCGTGGATCCCGAGTTGGGGCATTGTTATGAGTTGAGCAAAGGGCAATGAAAACTGAGAGTTAGCTCTTCTCGCTAGGATCCACACGCGGCCTAGAAATCCAGTCAAAAAGAAGGGATAGGAATATAAGACCGAAAATAGAATGAGCCACAGGCAACAAATGACTACGATAATAAGGATCAATTTTTATTCTATTTCTCTATTATAGAAATAGAATGATGTTTAGGTCTCGGCATCAACTGGTCAGGGCGATTTGGACCAGACGAACATCTAATTAGTCGTCCAGGCCGCGGAATCCGAGGGATCCGGGAGGGACTGCCGGCGAACGATCACCGTGACTGTCACGGCGATCCATTCTCTGTGACGGCGCGACAGAGAATACGCCCGTACGCCGTAGAGTGGGTGAGGTTCAGGCTTATTAGACGGCCCGATCAAGGCTGGGCTGCCATCTTCGACCAAACCAACTCGGCTTGCGTCGGCGATAACATACGAGGCGATTTCATCGGTGAGCAACCTATCCAGACCCTAGGGCGGGAGGTGGGCAAAGAAATCTATGGACCGAACGGTCCCATTTCCCAACGAGGCTTCGAACAAGATCGATCATGCTACGTGATGAGAGAGCGCCCTGACCGGGCGTACCCGGCTCAAATCCACTTGGAGCCATTTCACCGCGGTGGAAACCAAGTTGCACTTGATTTTCACCTAGAATGAAATTGAGACAAGTCGAGTTCTAGTTTATAATGCCATAATGATGTCGGTAAACTATTTGATTTAGGCATCAAATTTTCCAAGCGATCCCTCGGAGGGATTCCCTCCTGTACTTGGGCTTCGGATCGCCCTTGACGCATTCTGGCCCAGAATTTTTGGTACTATGGGTCCCATTGTATGGGAGGCGCTCCACGGCGCTTCCTCGGTGAAGAATCCCCTCATCTCTGAGATACCAAAGCGGAGACCTCGATCCATCAGTAGCGAAAGGCTTTCGCCGAAAGCTTCACT